TACTGTACTAATTGCTTCTAATAAATTACATATTTCAGGAGGGACATCATGATTTTAATCATTTATTCTGCATGTTGTTTCCTTTGGAGAGAAGAACAAGCAGCCTCTAAACAAGCCAAGCATCAGAAATTCATGGCAGAAGCTAGAAAGAGCTCATTTAATATCAACCATCATTGTAAATACTAGAATTATGCATGTATCAAATCCCTGGGTCTGAACACTTTGGGAACAGCCAGTGAGTCCTGGTTGTTTTAATGAGTCAAACCAAAACGATGTCTTTGAATGTTCCTTAGATTTATAACAACTCAGATTTAATACCATTTCAAATGTTGTAGCTGGGGCCTAGCTCAAGAAAAAGTCTTTGTTTCTATGCAAAGAAAACTGCATTAAGAGGGGAATTTAAAGGATGTATTTCCCAAAAGGCTGACAGGGAAAATAGTCAAATGTACCTTTCACTTCTGTGGGGAAAGACTTTAATTATGATTTGGTGGCAGTTAATTGCAAAGGTGGTCCAGTGAACACAGAAAGCTGCAAGAACTTTCTTTAAATCCAGCTGAAATTAGTAGGATCTTGATGCTGATCTAAATAGCCTCCTGCAGGGTGAACTAGGATGAGTGAAGGTTTCCTATTTCCCTGACCTCTAGCACACCCACACCAGTGGACTCAGTGAAATCCTCAAACCACTCGGGAATGCGCTTCCTTCACAGGGGGAGACCTTGATGGTATTTAAATAGTTGCTAGTATTAATAGCAATAGCTGGTAGATAATGTGGAGACTTGGGAGCTCTAGGGAGTGATGCAGGTTCGGGAACAGCTCAGGCTGTCTTCTGTTTGGCTTTGTAAACCTTGCTTCCTGTCACTTCAGTCTGCGTTTCCTTTCAAGGATGAGCTGGTATACCAAACAAAATGTGACTGTCTAGGTAAAAGGAAACCTGCCTCAGTACAAAGTATGCCTTGGGATGGAAAGCTGCAGTTGTAGCTCTGAGGCTCAAATGTGCTCTTTTGACTTTCTAGTGGTAATGTGATACCAAGGAACCACCATTACCTGAGATAAGTGCAACCTACTTCTGCCTTGGTAGTCTAAATTGCCTTCCACGTGGTCCCTCTCTACCTGGGAGGGTTATCGTCCCATTTTAGACTTCTCTGGTGAGTGTGAGGGGAAAAGGGTGAGAATCCAGCAAGGCTTTCAGGGGCTCCTCTAACCGGCCGACCAGAGTAATGAAGGTATCTCTAAGGATGATATTTGTGGATGGATGGATGGATGGATAGATGGATATTTGTGCTAAAACAGTTGGACTTCTACTTTGTACAGAGAAAAAAGGATTTTTCTTGGTTTCGTCATACAGAACAAGAAGCAGATTAGTAAATAGGAGAAACAGGCCTTACACAATGAGAATTGACTGGAAAAGATTGCCTTAGGTAAAACTGGTGATTCTTCAAATAGAGAAACCTTCCTCTGGTTGTTTTTATGGTGTTTTTCACAGGGAGGTTCAAGACAACCTCCACACATGAAGAAGAGGAGCTTAAAATGAAAGAATCTGATGGAAATTCAAGATTTGCGTATTAGAGCATTGGAAGTTATAGAAGGATGAGAGAATTTGAAGTTCAGACGTAAAAGCCCAAGAGTAACAGAAGAAAAGTGGCACAAACAGGGGAAATAGAGGTGATGAATCCTCAATTAAGAGTGTTGTTATACACAGAAAACAATGTGACAAGAGGTAAATCATAACATACTTAAAATACGATGGATTCATTTGGTGAGATCTTCAGATACTGACTTTTGCCAACATTGCATGCTACATAAGAGCATGGAATTAACAACCACTAGTGTAGCAGGGTTAGGAAAAGAAATATTTTTGAAAGCAAAATGGAAAATTTGACATCCATTAGGTTTGGTAATATAATACTAACAAGAACACTGCACTAAGCTGTTATCTGTTTTGCTGTCTGATTTGCTCTCCAGATTACCACTTAAATCAATAGCTCTCAAATTGATTTTTCCAGCACACTGTATTCCAGTAAAAAGAACAATGCTCTGAGATGAGTCAGCTATTTGCTCCGTCTGTAGGGACACTGGTGCATTTTCGTTTAGGAAAATAAAAGCAGGAGCCAAAGTACGCACAAGTATATAGTAATAAGAACGTGCCTGTTGCACCATAACACGACACCAGCTCTGCAGACACATGGGTTTGCTACAGCTTGCTGCAACAACTACAGACCCGCCTCCAGCTAGAGCAAGCCCTTGTAAGGATGGAACCAAAATATTTGGGGGCAATGTTAGACAAATAATAATACTGTCTTTCAGTTTATGTGACTGCCATGGCAGAGGGGAAAAATATGCCCACATTTAACTAAGAAGCTGGTCTCCATATATTTACAAGGACATGTAGAACATCAGCAATACTGCATTTTTATTTATTTCAGATATTTTCATTATTTGCATGTTCCATATAACACGTACTATAGTCCTGGTACTGTAACTGGTCATCACTATTGTCTGATGTTGCTTCCACTCATTTTAAGCATGTTATCAATTTCTGATTTTGTTTGTAATCACAACATGCAGTTTCATCTACTCTTGCTTTCTCTCTTGCTTAGCCATGAATTCATGAAACCAGCAACTCTTCTCTCACACAGTTTTGTAATTATTTCAAGGAACTTGCAAGAAGTGCAGCAAAAATACTTCCAGTTCAAAGAAGAAATAATAATCTCAAGAGCTACTTGGAGATTTGGAGTCAGGCTTAAGCATGACTCTCCCCACAGTTTCTCTTGACGACCTCTCTGCTGCGGGCATAGAGCAGAGCTGGTGCCATGGCCCCTCTTCTCTCCCACAGCTCTGCACACATGGCTGCTGTCTTGGCTTCCAGGCTCTGCACCCGCCTGTGAGCTTGGCTTATTTCTGGGAATTTTGGATTAACAGCAGCTAAAAACTACTAAAATGCCAGAGAAATGTAACAAATGAAAATGTTAGTCCCTCTTTTCCACTACAAGTTCTGTTTTATGGATATTTATTATCTCCATCTTTGAATGTAAGGTACCGGATTACAGTCTATCCCGTCTTCCATTAATAATAGCCTTGGAGGATACAGAGCAGCCAAAGGGGGTGTAAAGGAGCACGGCTCAGCATGCAGAATCTCATTCTTTACTGTATATTGAAGACCATACTGTGAATATACTGAGGGAGAAACAGCCCACAGGAAATAAACATATGCAAAGCTGTGGGAATAGTGTGCAATTATGAAGCCTGTTATTCTGAAAATACTGCTGAATATTGCTATCTTCAAATGCTATAAAACTAGAATCATTACAAAAACTCTGTATTTCTCAGTAATGCTTTCATAGCATTGTGTATTTCACATTGCTACATGCTTGCCTCCTAATCTCTTAGTCTAAACAAAATAACTTTCATGTTTTCATAATGATGAAGAAGAAGGAATAATGAATTTTGTACTTCAAGTATTTTTTAAATAAAAAGGTAGTATTTATGGCAGTTACAGTATGGTAAATCTGGAGCAATCCAGCCTGTTTACAGGAAGGGTTATCAGCTTCCAAGTGTCCACCTGTGTATCTGAGAATACTGTGTAGTTTAGGGTGTTAAGGTATCGAGGAGAGCCATTTTGTGCTTTGCTTTGTTCCATTTACAAGATATTTCAGGTTAGTTGTGATCTATCTTGAATCACTTACTTTCCTGCTTTCCTACTGTTCCCTGGGAATTAAGTTGATGTAGAAGCAAACTATGCCAGGTACTTCTCCAGGTCTCAGCAGGGTATTAAAGGTAACACTGAGTAGGATGCAGTCCTTGAGAGGAGATGTAAAGACCTGTTTAACAGAGCGCTTCATTTGTACTGTATTTAGTTTAGGTTTTTACAGCAAAATAATACAGCAACGAGATCGATAGCTGTTATTGCTACCCATGCAAAGCTTCTTCCTTCCACAAATTATTATAATTGACTGTAATAATCTTATTTCTAATATCCAGTACACAAACTTTAGCCCATTTTGACAAACAGATAGTAAGTCTTGCGCGGCACCTGAGTGATGTTTTAACTGTTGTTAAGACAAGTACAAGAGAACCGAAGCTACAGAATGAGATACATAGAACTGTCTGATGTGGTAAATTACCTAAGGACAGTGGCAGTATTTCACATGACAAAACAGATACCCTACCTTTTTTGCCAGGTAATATATTGTGCTAAGTAGAAGGAATGGAAATTGAGGCTACTCATTATCTATCAAGAGACAACTGGCAGGATAGCCTTTGGTCTGCAGTCTGAAAATGCTCCTGCACTGACAAGCGTCAGGCTGAAGGGTTGGTGAATCACTATGGATCTTGCTTCACTGCAAGCATGGTCAAGTCAAACTCTGTTCAGAGTCATTTGAGAAACAAGGCCTAAATGTAGCTGTTCTGATCCCAGCTAATATTCCTGCT